TTTTTTTTTTTTTTTTTTTTTTTTGGTTCAGATTTTTAGGGTTTAGGGTTTCTTCTTTTCGCCTATAAAAAGCTGCCTTCTGTATCTCCAATGGCAGCCTCGGCCCGGAAGAGAGAAATTCTATGATTTTCTTCCTTTCTTTTGAGTGTTAGATCTCTGTGAGTATCATTATTGCGTGATTGTTTGATTTTCTATTGTTGATTTAGCAACGGAGGAAGAAGCCTTATGTTGCGATTCTCTGGTCGGCCAAAATCTTCATCCGGAGAAATGGAAATCGATCAGAGAGTCTGATGTTAGGCAATGCCGAAGATCGGTATCTTCTACTGCTCGTTCTGAAATTTTCGCTCCATCGCTTGGTTTCTTCGTTCAAATCTCGATTTTCTCGTCCTACTTGGTTTTGTATTTAATCTGGAGGTTTTTGATGTGAAAGGATGATAAAATCAGACGGATTCCCAATGATAATCCATGATATCACAACCAGCTACTTCTGATCACATCTAAATAACCGTGTAGATCGTATATTCTATTTTTCGTTCTGAATTTTTCGATCTATCGTTTCTGGTTTCTTCGTTCAAATCTCGCTTTTCTCGTCCTTTTTGGTTTTGTTTTTAATCCGGAGGTTTTTTATGTGAAAGGATGAAAAAAATCAGACGGATTCCCAATGATAATCCATGATATTACAACCAGCTACTTCTGATCACATTTCAATAACCTTCTAGTTACTTCTTCTGATTTTCTTTTGAAAGAGCGATGATTGTCTCTTTGTTTTCATTGACGTTTTCTCTATTTAACAAGGCCGTTGATGTGATTATAAATATTTGCTACTCTTGATGGTATTATATATGCCATTTGATGATCACTAACCACCAAGATCTCTGAGGCCGTTCTAGATGCTTTTTTATCGAACCAATTTATTAATTTTCAGCTATACAGTCTCCAAGTTTTGTTCTTACTATTGAACTTCCAATAGAAAGATTATCAACACATTCAAAATTCAGTATATATTTTGCCTAAATGGAATTATCGATATCTAAATCAGTATTGAACGCAAACAATGTCAAAAACCAATTACATCATGTACAGATATATCAAATAATATCAAAAATCTTTTCTCCATATCATTTCAGTTACTGTACAGTTCTCGACCTTGGCTTTAGAAGGATAGTTGACCAAGCTCTTGCCTTGGGTGGTACCTCTTGATGGCGCACGTCAAGGAAGTTCCTCTTAGGGCACCTATGAAGGTCATGCACGAGACAACGATCCAATGGACCTCCAAAGACTAGAAAGCAAACGAACCTCCCATTCTTCAGTGAATGATAAGCCTGGAGTCCACCTCCATCTCCGTGAATGCTTAGGAAGGTTTGCCACTGCTTTCCAGTAATCTTGATTAATGTTCCTTTCAAACCAAATGTAAGGTGAATCATTAAATTACTGAAGATTTAGTACGAACAAGACAAATCCATTCAACTTAGTCCATAGCTCTTCATCGAAAATGCAATATATAATTTGGTTCTGAATTTGATTATAAAACACATCTTGGAAGTAAAACAGTCATTAATGTACATGGCCTAGAAAAATAAATAATACACATTATAGAGTTACTAACTAATTTTGATTTCAACAAAGACAACAATAGAGCTGAAAATGATCTTATTTGACTGCTTTACATTGATAACGTTAGAAAATGGGTACGAAAAAAATCCAACTTATTTGACCGCTATAACATTAGAAAATGGGTTTGATGAAAAGTCCATCGATCCCGGTCTCTAGTAAAAATGTGAAAAGGAATCCATTTATAATCCTCTCAGTTTGATTAATGGATTGGCAGCGTGACAAATAAGTTTGTATTACGAAATGATTGTGGCCACTCTCAAGAGATGAATGTCGAGGAGAATCTAATCTGTCAATGTATATGAACTATGTCATAATCCATAGGAGATGAAAAATCCATAACTGCTACCATTTACACACTAAACCAAGTAGAACCATAAAAAAAGCATCCCGACAACATAGATTGAATATAGCTTAAGGAGACCGAGGACAAAACCCATGAACCTAAGAGCTACATTCTCACTACTTTAAATGATATAAACTATAATTTTTTGTTTAATTTGACTATATTATTGTAAGAATCCATATTGATTAGAGAGAAGAATAAAAAGCTCCGGGTGAAGGTGGGGAGACTATCAAATTGGAGTTCCGCCAGATAAGGAGTTTGAACTTTAGAAAAAATACCAAAAAAATATTTCACACTTTAAAAAGCAACCAATCACCATCGAACACGTGGTGAACAACCATTGGACCTTGAGACGTTGAAGAGAACCGACACGTGAAATTAACAATCACACCATCGAAATCCCCAGAACACCCCCACGTCCAGGTCATAATCTCACAAAATTCCAAAGGGCAAAATAGGAAGGAAATAAAAATCTCAAGCCACACAAATCCACAAATCCCACGAACTCCTTCGCATAAACGCAGCCTTCCTCTTTTCGTTCTTCGCTTTCGAAACGGAAACTCAAAACTCTCTCCCATTTATAAACCTCTTCTCTTCGTCTCTCTCACATTCCCAGATATAAAACATCTCGATTTTCAAACTCTTCCCGCTCCCCCATCAATCCTTCTACTATTTCTTTCTCATCATCGCAATTTTCCCAGATCTTTTCTCTTCGATCGACGGAAAATTCATCGCTCCACTCTAGGGTTTCCCCATTTGCGAGAGGTCTGTTTTTTTCCCTTAATTTCGTGTGGTTGGTCTTGCGATCAACGGATCGTGTGTGTTGTGGACTATCGGTTGGGTTTTGATCTAGCTTTCATGTCGGTTTTGCGTCTTGCCTTCCTCAGCTGGCTCCTAGGGTTTGTTTAGTTAGATTTGATTGTGTGGGTCGTTGTAGGTACCCCCGGCTGAGGGGTTTTTGTTACCCCACTAATGATTGATCTCTTGGTGGAATGATCTTGTATGATCCCTGTATTTCGTTTGACCCTTATCGCTAATTTGATTTGGAAAAAAAAAAAAATCTTCAAGAGAGTGCGTTCGTGAGTTCCGTACATGATGTATGGATTACTATTTTTAGTTAATCAATGAACATGGAGTCTTGGTTTGTTTATGATTCGAGGATATTTGTTCATGTTTTTGGGCTTGGGCATTGAAATAAACGCGAAAAACGGTGGTTTTGGTACTTTTTTTGAAATAATTATTTTGGAGCAAGAATTTAAGGAGTCGAGTTCCGTCATTGCAGAGATTTACTGTAAGGAATGGCAGATCAAGGCTTGGAAGGAGCCCAACCCGTCGATCTTAAAAAGCACCCTTCTGGGATTGTTCCTACCCTTCAGTGAGTTCTAACTTTTCCAACCGCTTGTGCCTTCTCTTTGTGTATGATAGCTCGTTTTTGTAGGCCAAATTTTAGCGTTTCATCAGAGTATTAAGTGGTGGGGTTTTTTATTTTCTTACCAATTTAGAACGAGAAATTGATCATGGACGTTTGAAGTGATTTATATCCAGAAATTGGTTTACTTAGGAAAAGACAACAGTTTAACCTTTTGGTCTAAGCGCCATATACACCTCTAATATTGACCTGATTATACTTTCAACTTTGTCGACATTGAATGGCGTAAAATACTCCCAATCTCTTCTCTCCCCCGTCTCTCTTTCTCTCATGCACACACAAACAGGGAACCTAGCTGTAGATTTTGGTAATAAGTGAAACTTAAATCGAAATTCTCTGGATAAGTTGTATCCACCTATAAGTTAAAATGTTTTAGTTTCAAAAAATTGAAAATATGGACTGTTGCAATTGCAATATAAATGAATTTCAACGTAGATCGTAGAATGTGGGGGTTTGCTAACACTTATACTGAAGCAGACAACCTTTCTTCGAAGACTTTAATACAAACAAGGAATTCCCTTTTGTGAAGTACAATGTAGTCATCAAATGTATATTTGTTTTGGATTTTCTACAGGAACTCCTTGTATGTACTATATTTTTAATGTTTCTTGTTGAGTGTACAATCTGTTGCATTGTGTCTAGGAACATTGTGTCAACAGTGAATCTGGACTGCAAGTTGGATCTTAAGGCCATTGCTCTGCAAGCCCGCAATGCCGAATACAATCCCAAGGCAAGTGGTGTTTTATGTGCTACTCATCATGGACGTCAAGAATCCCATTTTCAGGGTGAAATATTATTATTTCCTTTTGAATTTGAACTTTTAAGAATCTCAATTTCCATTTCAATGACAGCGTTTTGCTGCTGTTATTATGAGAATAAGGGAGCCAAAAACCACCGCATTGATATTTGCATCTGGGAAGATGGTAAGCCATTTTCTATCTAATTTCCAAATGAGAGGTGATGAGACGAGTTGGCCAGCCCTATGGCAGTTGCTTTCAGTGATTTACTACACTTTTTTTTTTTCTGACTGTCACAAAAAATCTTTTGTCCATTTTTGTGTTGGACATGGGCAGGGGACAGGTTGACTTGATAAAATTTGATGAGAAAATAGATAAGAAAAGCTAATGGACCAAACATGACTTATCTTATTAAGACTAGTCGTATAAACCCATCTGAAAGAAATCATGATGGGAGGGCCCTCCTTCTTCACTGTTCTGCTACTAGCATATTACATTCTTTTGGTGTTAACTTTACTAGTTTTGTAAATTTTGAAGTATTAGATATATCAATACCCACATATATTGTAAAAAAAAATGTTATCCCAATGCATCTGTATCCTACGGTTATTTTAGAAATTGCCATGTTACCATATCTGTATCATGTTGTGTTATCTTGTATCTATGTCCTGTTTTCATGTTCAAGCTTCTTAGATAATCATCTATTTCTACTGGAACCTCTTTTGGTTCAAATTCAAAAGGGAAAAGAACCAACAACAAAGATACGTGTGGACTGATTTAGGTTGATGGTTTAATGAGACAGAGGGAATTTTCCTATTTGATTTGTGGCATAATCGTGTTTCATGTCTATGTGAACCCATGGCATGGCCAATATTTTATTACATAATAATAATCAATCTCAAACCCACATATTGTTGAAGTTATTATGGTTAAGAAGTTCGCATCTCACCTTTTTCCTAGTGAATTAAAAATTTAAAAAAAAAAAATCATGACCTCAATCCAATATTTATGGATTATTCTTTCAATGCTCTTTGCACGAATTTAGGTCAAGGGAGTCTGCTTAATGTGCCACTATAGTTATAAGGATGGATTCTTTTTCTTGTAAATCGGTTGTTGCACTCTCGGAGTATTTTGTCTTAGCTATTCAGATGTATAATGTGGTGTAGGTCTGTACTGGAGCTAAGAGTGAACAGCAGTCAAAATTAGCAGCAAGAAAGGTATTTAATGTCTTTCAGGTGTTCTATCCTAGTTTGTAGAGGTTGTAAAGTCATTTTACACGCCCTGATTCAGTAACACAATTAGTGTCCAGAAACAATGTTTTTAATTTTAAAAATATTTTCACTGAAAACCAAAAAATATGGGCAAAAGAAATTAGGTGTGGAGAATAGTTGATAGTCTTCATCTTATTGTAAAAGAATGTTTGTATGAATAGTTAGTATTTACATATTTAATCGTTGATGTATTCTCTGAGGTTAAATTGTATAGTCAGTTGATGTTCAGGTTGTTGAACACTGTCATAAGTCCTATTCTCTAGGACCAAGACCTACTCTCAAGGTCTTTTTTTGGCTTGTTAGTTTATCTTTAGGTTTAGCAGAAGGCTATATAATGCCATTCTTTCTGCTGTTGAAATCATTAAAGTTTTGAGTGTCATATTGTATGTCTGGAGTAACTTTGGTGTTGTGAGTACATTTGTTCCGCTTTCGGCGCACAACAAGTGGTATCAGAGCCTTATTGTGGTATTTGGGGGTATTGTGAAAGTTTGGGCCTCATCGACCATTAGACGTGCTCACAATCGTGTTTATTCTCTTGGAAATCAGTTTTCAAGAATTGTGTTTTTGAGTTACATCCAGATTAATTATTGCAAATGGCCGAACCATCACGACGTGGATCGAGAGTGTGGAGTTCCAATCTCGAAGTAGAAAAATTTGATGGAACCAATAATTTTGGTGTTTGGCGAGGCGAAGTTAACGATTTGCTGGTCATGCAAGACCTCGATGTTTCTCTCCAAGAGGAGATGCCTGAAGACATGACAGAAGCAGAATGGACAAAATTAAATCGGCAAGCCTGTGGAATTATTCGATCCTGTCTTGGCAAGGATCAGAAATATCCATTTATGAAGGTTACCATGGCGAAAGAATTATGGGACAAGCTTGAAGCGAAATATATGAAGAAGAGTGTGGAAAATAAACTCTATTTGAAGAAGAAACTCTTCCGTTTTGACTACAAGGAAGGTATCTCAATGGCTGAGCATTTGGATGATTTTAACAAAATCATCACTGATTTGCTCAATCTTGATGTTAAGATTGATGACGAGGACAAGGCGTTGTTGTTATTAAACTCTTTGCCGGAATCCT